ATCGCCGTGCTTATGGCAGTGATCTGCAGTTGCCAAAGCATGCTTTTCTGCAGATGGTCGCCATTCAGTCCATGTCGCATCCGCGCGACATCGCGTTCCCTGGCTGCCCTCGTCATGTATTCTCATCGCGGACCCGCACGACAGAGGACGTGCACCGCGGGAGACACCAGAGGACGGCTGGTAGCGGCGCTCCTTGCCTCCAGCTCAGGTTTCCCTACATTCTGTGGAGCCCACTGAGTCATCTACAGAAAGGTTTGTCGTTGTCGCTGACCGTCCCGATACTCTCCCGATCCATCAACTCGTGGCGGGGTGGGTCTGAGAGGCTTAAGGTGCCCGTTTTTTGTCCGAAACTGAAATGATCTGCGGCCAGTAGCAGGGACACGCAGGTCAGGAGACTTCAGAGGGCGGTGCGGACCGTGACGAATAATGCAATACGCTAAAATTTCGCTTCGAAGTTCACCTGCTCGCCGGGAGTGTCACTATCGGGTGCCAGGCTCAGGGCGCATGTAACAACCACTGCTTAGCATGAGCGCTGATCGCAGGCATCCATCAAGTTCTAAATTGCTTGACGAAATCCTATGCAACTAAAAGTAACTATAACAAAGCAAAAACAGTTAATCAAAGCTACCAATGAAAGAAAAAGCCGGCTGCGCCTAGAAAGGTGACGGACAGAACAGTAAAGCCATAAATGTTCATTAAAACACGATAGTTAGGCAAATACATGCATTGTCTTGCACCCGCACAGCAAACATGTGCAACACACATAAAACAAATCAGTACAGGTGTTCATCCAGAAATGCCACAGCGTTAGAAACACCCGCGTTTTCAACACCGGTTTGATTTTCCCCACGCGCACGATGAAACTATATGGCAAAACTTCATCAAGACATTACACATCGGTTAACCGGCGAGAAGTGAGCAAACGAGAACGAATCGGCATCACGCCGTCAGGCAATTCCCCCCCCCCCCCCCGCCGACGGGGAAAACCGTCGAAAATAATGGACACCATGATCCCCGTTGCCCAATCACAACGGATCAACCATACATGCATGATCCCAACCCAGTCTGAGCAGCCAGCGTGACGTCACGACAGGGCGCAAGTCGCCGCCGCTTCTCCCTTGAACAAATATCGAAACCCTGGGCGCGTACGCGACCGACGCACGTTCAGAAAGGCGCGCGCCTGCAGCGAGGTCGCCGGGACGGCCGACCGCGCCCCATCCCTGTTCTTTGCACACGGCCGTCCCCGGCCGGGACCTCGGCAGCCCACGGCCCGCGTCCACACAGCCAGACGGCCGCCCGTCCGCCCCGACGTCGGCCGGACAACAGGGAGGGGGCGGCCGCGCCCCCCCCCCCCCCCGCACGCCGCTCAGAGGCCGTGAATCTGGCGCAGGTGGATGCGCAGCTGCGTGGTCCTAGAGAGCACTTTGCCGCAGACGTGGCACGTCGTGTCGCCCTTATGGAGCTTCATGTGCTGGCCCAACGAAACCAGGTGGTTGTAGATGCGGCCGCAGAACTGGCAGCGGAATGTGCCGCGCCGGGTGTCGCCGGTGCTGCCACCTGCCGGACAAACGGCCGATCAGAGGCGACCGGGGCTCGACACGGCGACGGCGGACCGGCAGCAGGCGGCGCTCCGTGCGTCAGCTGACACCGGGGTGGTTCTCGACGACGCCGAAGGTGCCGCGGCAGGCCGCCGCCCACCGAGCGCGCGGGCTCGCACCGTCCCGATGCTGGCTGCACTGCCAAAATCGCGCGTCGAGAGAAGCGACAACCGAGAACGTCGCCGACGCTGCGCGCTGCCTCTTCCTCCACCGATCTGTGCCCGTGACCTGCGCGTCCTCCACCAATATGCATTGCGACTGTGACGGAGCTTGCCGTTGGGCTGCAACTGAGGACGTGTCCGCGTTAGCCGGAGGACAGGACGCCAAGCCAGTGGCCAGTCCCTGTTTACGGTTTCGCGCAGTGGCTATATCATTGGCTATATTATTCACAGGCATTCATTGTTTGATGTTTGGGGTTTTAGGGCGCACAGACTACTTAGGTCATCAGGTACCCATGAGTGTACACATGCAGTGCTAATGCGCCCATACCTGAAACCAAATAGCGGCGAGCAACAGTATTTTGCGTCCAGGTTCCCGTTGGACTCAGGCATCGGCCATGTCCAGCACCGTGCTGTGCGCTGGCAGCTCTTGTTGATGACCATCGATCCCGAGCATACTAGCGCATTCTTGTTTTTATCCATACCGTCACGTGCTGACCGACAATGCACTGGACACAATGCTCCAGAGTGTGAAGAAACCTCACTTGTAACCTCACTTCGCAGAGGTTACATAAAGCAAACGGCGTTGGGTTTTGAGCAATTTAGCAGTCACGCACGATTCGCTGCTCCCTGAAAAGTTTCTGGCTGTTCTACGCGTAAACTCACCGCATTTAATTATTCCGTCGCGGCTATTTCTAACGGCATCAATGGACCAACCAGTGCTGGAAACAGGTTTCGAAGTAAGACGCTCTTAGCTGTTACCATCCAGCAGATACCCGAGGGACGCAAGGTGGAAGCTTAATTGTGTACTAGAATAAGGTCATTTCCACAAGGATTAATGCGCGTAAAGCGTTATAATTTCAATGTATTTCGATGGTTTGATGCTTGATATATGAAGATTTGACCCGCAGCGGTTCCGAACAGTTCTTTCGAATTAAACAAGCTAAGGCATGCACTCAAATAACCCGTATCATGCGTCTTCATGCATTTTCTAAAAGCCTTTATGCATATTTCAAAATACTGGGCGCAAGGAACGCGCCATAAAAGGCCCAGGTATGTGACGCAGACTGTTCTGACCGCGGAACAATGTGTATTTCTGAGCACCGAAACACCAGAACCTCCGATCTACCCGCAGACTACCCTGCTCGCGCTCCCGGTCCCCCGGCCCGACCCCCTCCGCGCATGCGCTGCCGCGGTCGGCAGCGGCGGCTGACGGCCGGTGGACAGAGGCCGCCAGCGAACGGCACGGGCGGCAGCAGCCGCGACACGGCGGGTCGTACCACAGAGTACTGAAGCCGAAGAGGGTCGAAGCTCTCGGGGTGCGATCCGCTGGTCCGTGATGGAGAGTCCTGGCGTCGGAGAGAGCAACGACTACTCGGGTGGAATCCGCTGGTTCGTGATGGAGAGTCCTGGCGTCGGAGAGGACCGCGACTCCTCGGGTGGAATCCGCTGGTCTGATACGGAGAGGGCGGTGACTCCTTGGGTGGAATCTGCTGGTCTGATACGGAGAGGGTCGCGACTCCTCAGGTGGAATCCGCTGGTCTGATACGGAGAGGGTCGTGACTTCTCGGATGGAATCCGTTGGCCTGATACGGAAAGGGTCGCGACTCCTCGGGTGGAATCCGTTGGTCTGATGCGGAGAGGGCCGTGACTCCTCAGATGGAGTCCATTGGTCTGATGCGGAGAGGGTCGCGACTCCTCGGTTGGAATCCGCCGGTCCGGTACGGAGAGGGTCGCGACTCCTCAGGTGGAATCCGCTGGTCTGATACGGAGAGGGCCGCGAATCCTCGTGTGGTGTGTGCGCCATGTCATTGGGGCTTTACGACGCACTCAGCTGCTGAGGCTATATAGCGCCGCCTGCCTCTCACCCTGGCAGGAAGGGCGGAATCCGCTGGTCTGGGACGGAGAGTCCCCACGCCGGAGAGTCTTCATCACACCGGAGAGGACCGCGGGACGGTTGAAGCGCAAACGTTTAAAAGTATGGCGCCATGCCCTCCCCGGGGAACCCAGTGTGCGGTTCAAGACTCGGCACCCGCTGTACTGGCTCTGTGCACCGGCTTTTAGCGCGGCCGCTGACGTCATATTTGATCACCACGCAGATGCCTACGTTGTGTCTACTCCAGGGAACATTCAGCAACGTTGGCCAGCGTGGGCTGCCTGGCCCGACCGGCCTCCATGCAACACTCGGAGCCTGTGCCGTTGTATTCAGCTGCCCCGCGGTATGCACCGCACCAGGCGCCCGCCTTGTACCCGTCCGGGCGACGGGATTGGCTGTCTGACATCGCGCCAGCTGCAACGGTAAAGTTACGCGCCCATGGCTGTCAGCCGAATCGATGGCGACCGATAGCTGTATATCGGGAGGGCCAGGCCAGCACTGTAGGGCTCGATCTTGGCTGGCATTGGCATATATCGCACGGCCTGATAACGTCAGGTGATCATATGTCATCAGCATGATCGTCTAATTACGGATGCAGCTCCAAAATCATGTGCTTCACCGTAAGGTGTGCAAGACCATGCATCAGGACCCCACTAATCTCCTCTCTGGCTGCCATGTGATAATATCCACTCAAGTAGCGATGTCAATGGCAGGTAACAAACGTGTTAATTTCGACCAGGCGATGTATGTACAGCCAATCATGACAGTCGACACGGCTCGGTGCTTATGCATGGGTTCATGAGGCGCTGGATCGGGCCATTTAAGCGTGCCGACGGCACAATGGGTCGCTGCCAGCACAATGCACCGCGCACCCGAACGGCCTAAAAGCGCAGACATACCATGTGACTGCAGGCGGCCGACCCCTGAGAATGGCAGCCACAGCGTCTGGTCATCGACCCGACAGCCAGTCTGAGCACCGTGCCACGCAGCCCTTGCCCGATGTCGTGACGGCAGGTGGCGCTGACCACACAGCCCAGGCATGACGCCGCTTCCGCGCACCATGCCGAAACCGCCCGCTACCGCCTACCAATCGGCCGTGGTCAAACTGACGGCATTTCTAGTCACCTGTGCTGCAATTGCCGACAGCGCCCCATGCGAATTTTTCTCACTCACGTGATTGTTCTCTCAGCTTGGACCTTACGCACCTGACGCGCCCACATAAGCCAGCTGAAGTTCACTCTCCCCGACACCTCCCGCAGCTCACAGCAGTCACCCTGGACCTCATGTTTTACTCTGTGGTTTTCGGCAGCCCTGGCCCCAAGGTCTCGCGTGCCTCACGGCGCCAGCCTCCGACCGACGCCTCCGACCTCAGATCCTGTGCACCTCGCGCAGGTGGATGCGGAGGTTGGAGCGGCTGGCCAACACGCGGCCGCACATGTGACACACGGTGTCGCCGCTGTGCACCTTCAGGTGTTTGTTCAGCGACGCCGGGTGGGTGTAGACCTTGCCACAGTGCCGGCAGGACAGCATCGGCCCACCTGCCAAACACGGCCCAGTGAGACGACGCGCACAGCACGACACCGGCCCAGTGAGACGGCACGCATAGCACGCCACCGGCTCAGTGAGATGGCACGCACAGCTGCCATCGGCCCAGTGAGACGGCGCGCACAGCTGCCACCGGCCCAGTGAGACAGCGCGCACAGCACGGCACCGACCCAGTGAGACGGTGTGCACAGCACGGCACCAGCCCAGCGAGACGGCACGCACAGCACGGCACCGGCCCAGTGAGACGGCACGCACAGCACGGCACCGGCCCAGTGAGACGGCGCGCACAGCACGCCACCGGCCCAGTGAGAAGGCACGTACAGCACGGCACCGGCCCCTGAGACGGCACGCAAGGCATGGCACCGACCCAGTGAGACGACGCGCACAGCACGGCACCGGCCCGGTGGGACGGCGCGCACAGCACGGCATCGGCCCTTGAGACGGCACGCACAGCACGGCACCGGCCCAATGAGACGGCACGCACAGCACGGCACCGGCCCAATGAGACGGCACGCACAGCACGGCATCGGCCCGTGTCCTGTGCACGGACGGCTCCCAGTGCACGATGACGCCGGGAGAACCGTGGAATCGCCGGCTACAGAGCAGTGACGCAGGGAAACAGTTACGCCGCCCGGATTAAGCCTTGAGGAAATGTGTCTGATTGGTCGAGTGACTGCTGTAATCCCTTTGAAGGCAATTCGGCTTCGCAAACCTACTCAACGACAGCCCCTGGCGAACAAGCTAGCAGCGGCCTTGCGCGGACGTACACGGAGTCACGAACGCCGCCGTCATCGACTGTGCTCAGAACCGATCGCGATAGTGACGACATATCATGTGCTTCAACCATCGACCTTATATGGGATTGTATGGGATTGTATGTATGCAAAAGTATGGGACTGAGAGCCTATCTTACGAAACGAACCCACTGCGCCACCGTCATCGCCTGTATTAGCTATAAGCCATATAACCTCGTCTTAGACGGCCCTAACCACCCCTGGTCTCAGACCCGAGTGCGCGACCCGGTTGCCGCTAGCGCCACCCTCCCCTGCGGCGACCCTGTCGCCATCAGTTGGAGCCGGCTGGGCCACCGCGGCCGCGCGTGTACCTGCGCCCGCCGGCGGCCCGCTAGCGGCCGGGCGCCGGCGGCACGGGGTCGTACACGTTGTGCACATTGCGCAGATGGCTGATGAGCTCGTAGCGGCGCGAGAGCACGCGGCCGCAGATGCGGCACGTGGTGTGGCCCAGGTGGAGCAGCCGGTGGTGCGCCAGCGCCGAGTTGGACTGGTACTGGCGGCCGCATTGCTCGCACGTCGGCTTGCGCGCCGCCGCCGCTGAAATACACAGCACGGCCTCAGCAGGGCTCCCGCTGCGGCGCAGCGTAGGTCGGAACGACCGGTCCGAGGTCAGGTCAGGGTGCCCGGTCAGTCAGGCCGAGGCGCTGGGCCGATCAGAGGTCAGGCAAGGGCGCGGTCAGAGGTTGTAAGGGCGGTCGGTCAGAGATCACGTCAGGGTAGTCAGCCAGAGGTCACATCAGGGCGGCCGGTCAAGAGGTCAGGTCACGTCAGGGCGGCCGGTAAGAGGTTAGGTAAGGGCGGCCGGTCCGAGGTCGCGGTAGTCGGTCATAGGTCAGGTCATGGCGGCCGGTCAGAGGTCATGGCAGCCGATCAGAGGTCAGGTTAGGCCGGTCGGTCAGGGGTCATGGTGGCCGGTCATAGGTCAGGTAACGGCGACCTGCCAGAATTCAGGTCCTGGCGGCCGGTGAATTGTCAGGTCAGGGCGGCCAGTCAGAGGTCAGGTCAGGTCAGGTCAGGTCGGTCGGTCTGAGGTTATGGCAGGCCGGCCGGTTAGCGGTCAGGTCACGTCAGGGCGTCGTTTAGAGGTCAGGTTAGGGCGGGAGTGGGAAGACAGAACTCTCAGGCCACATCACGGGCCGGGTCTAGGCGGCGGACAGACGGCGAGGGCAGCCTCCTGTAGCCAGTGGCCAGCCTGACTGAGCGCAGCCAACCAGGCCATTGGCCCCGCGGGCCTCCCACTGCGATGGACCATCACTTCTGCTGACCGGTGGGCGAGCAATAGCCGCGTGTGGCGTAAGAACCTGTCAGACCCCTCTAAAGTCTGGCGGCAATAGTATGGGATTGAGAGCCTACAGCCTTCAGCCGCATCGAATGCTCGGCGAGCTGGAACGAACGACGCTGCAGTCAGTCTGTGACTGACAGCTAATGCCCAACGGTGCAGTTCGACCGCACAGCAGGCGCCAGCCATCGCTGACGGCCAGTCATGTATCCTATGTGGGGGTACCACGCTGGTCACCGGTCAGCTGGCTGCCACTCGGAGAGCAGGTTAGCGGACATGAAGCAGCAATAAGTCTTACGCTACGTGTCACCACACCGCGCAGATCACGAACAAATGCGGCTTACAGCGCAAAACAGTATATATTGATGTGAAATGGGACCAGCGCCTACAATTCCCAGTTGATGTCTTGTGCCACACAATGAACGACGCGTCCGCATTCCCGACGTGAGCTGGAGGCAGCACGCTTAGCTGGTGAAAGAAATGCTTCAGGAGCATTCGTTCCCACAAACAACGCATGATGTGACAAATTACAGACAGCCGCATGCATATGTATTTATTAAGCACCAACATAAGTTCCGTCTTGTGACGGAGCCAGCTTTAAAGCGTCAGTGGCCTGTTTCCCTTCCCGGCCAGACACGACACGAGGCATTCACAGCTCCGCTATGTACGCCGCGTATGCACGTGTGTCCGCACGCCGGACTCCACTACTCCACCGCCTGCCGCGTCATTTGCCCCGCCCATTACAGCTGAGGGGTCGAACCCATGCACCTGCTCGGCACCCTCATCACTGCCGTCGCATCCAGTGCGGCCGCGCCGCTTTGAACCTTGGCTGCCTCCGTGCAAAGTTGGCAGCCGCACCAAAGGATGGTCGTCGGTGCCTCGCGCCACAATGCGGCGGCTCTGGGCTGGGCGGCCCCCGCCGGCCGGCCGTGGTCCGCAGGACTCAGCTCGGCGGCAACAACTGCGCGAGCTGAGGCAACACAGGCATCGCTCACCACGGCCGTAAACTGACCCCGGAAGCGGTCCATACCGCACAGCCACCAGGCACTAACGTCTCATCCCAGTGCCCGAGCGACGCTGGCATTCCCGGCCGCCGTCCGCTGACGCACGGCGCCATCTGCCCGCCCGTCCTCGAACCACCACCTTCGACCGCTACCGCTGAACGGCGGTGGCGCATCACGGGAGCGGCGGCGGTGGCGGCGGCTGCACCAGCTCCGGATGCTGCGTCAGCATGTGGCTGTGCAGCTGGCCCGTGCGGCTCAGCACCTTGCCGCAGACGCGGCACGTGGTCTCGCCGCGGTGCACCTTCATGTGGTGCATCAGCGACGTGTCGTACTTGAACGTCTTGCCACACAGCCGGCAGAGATGGTCCCGCACCGGAGGCACCGCCACCGCCGGCGCTGGGAACAGCCGCCACACTAGAAGACACGGCATAGAGCAGTTCAGAGCGGCGGCGCGCACCGGCTGCCAGGCGCGGGCGAGGGAGAGGGAGAGGGCCCGGGGAGGAGAGCGGACGGGCACGCCTTGAGGCGCAGACCACGTGCGTGGGGTGGCGGGCCGTAGCGCAACACCGTTAGGGCGTGGACTGTCTCCGAGGACTTCTGAAACCGGCTCTCCAGTATTGATGAACGCCGTTCGTTGATTCAAAAGATGGCAAAGGATGTTCTGTTCAATAACATGGCCGCGAGCGCGCCTAACGAGGCAATGAAGCCTGATCACGATGTGTGTATATATATATATATATATATATATATATATATATATATATATATAATTCTCTCTCTCTCTCTCTCTCTCTCTCTCTCTCTCTCTCTCCTCTCTCTCATCTCTCTCTCTCTCTCTCTCTCTCCTCTCTCGCTCTCCTCGCTCTCTCTCTCGCTCTCTCTGGCGCGTGCGCGTGCGCGTGCGCGTGCGCGTGCGCGTGCGGGCGAGAGAGAGAGAGAGAGAGAGTGCGCGTGCGCGTGCGCGTGCGCGTGCGCGCGAGAGAGAGAGAGAGAGAGAGAAGAGAGAGAGAGAGAGAGAGAGAGAGAGAGAGAGAGAGAGAGAGAGGGAGAGGAGAGAGAGAGAGAGAGAGAGAGAGAGAGAGAGGAGAGAGAGAGAGAGAGAGAGAGAGAGAGAGAGAGAGAGAGAGAGAGAGAGAGAGAGAGAGAGAGAGAGAGAGAGAGAGAGAGAGAGGAGAGAGAGAGAGAGGAGAGAGAGAGGGAGAGAGAGAGAGAGAGAGAGAGGAGAGAGAGAGAGAGAGAGAGAGAGAGAGAGAGCGAGAGAGAGAGAGAGAGAGAGAAGAGAGAGAGGAGAGAGAGAGAGAGAGAGAGAGAGAGGAGAGAGAGAGGAGAGAGAGAGAGAGAGAGAGAGAGAGAGAGAGAGAGAGAGAGAGAGAGAGGAGAGAGAGAGAGATGGAGAGAGAGACGAGAGGAGAGAGAGAGAGAGAGAGAGAGAGAGAGATGAAATCTTCATCCAAACCAAGAACAATGGACGTCCAGAATGCATGACGCCGGACTGTATTATACGGCACCACAACTATCTCATCGCAGGGTACGGATGAAACTCCAACTGAAACGGCTTGGGACACCGTGTCTGCTGTAAGACTACATGACACGACACGAAAAGTTCTTCGCCACAAGGGTAAAGGCCTTACCACGAAGACTGATGACATGGCAATTGAATGGCATGCGCACGTTAAGAATGCTCCCGCCACACCAGCCAACTAATGCACACCTAACTGCGGAGGTGCCCATCAACCAGCCTGCTCTTCTCCAACACGCAGAACGCAGCCCATACTTTATATTCCTGCTTGCTGGCAATGGCGTCACCCTACCCCGTCGTTAGTGTAGGTTAATCGAGTCACAACATCCGTCAGACCGAACACCATATAAATAGCCGGCATGAAAACCTCCCGACAAGCCAAGGGCAGCACGAGCGACCCGGCCTCCACTCCCCCGTCGTCTCTCTGTCGCGCTCCCTGGCGGCGGCGGCGGCAGCGGCGGAGGCAGCGGCGGCGGCACCTCCGCCAGTCTGGATCGACTCGCCCGGCTCCAGCCCGCCGGTAGTGAGCTGCCACACCCGTCGGACGCGGCCGCGGCGCTACATGCCGTGCATGGTCTTCATGTGCCCGCGCATGTTGCTCTTGCGCGAGAAGACGCGCTGGCAGACGGGGCAGGCCGTCTCGCCGCGGTGCAGGCTCATGTGGTGGAACAGCGAGGTGCGCATCGCGAACGCCTTGCCGCACAGCTCGCAGCCGAACGGCTTGGGGCCGTGCCGACGGCGGCCCGGCTCCGCCCGCCACGCGCCTACAGACAGAGACACGGGGCGCTGTCAGCGGCCGAGCCGGCACGCCGCATGGGCCGGCAGCGCTTCACCGCCTGCGCGCCATCTACTGGCCGGTGCTACGCTGCTGTTTCCACGTCTTACCGTCCGTGAAGCAAATATGTTTGAGGTGGACTTGCGATCGATCGTGACACCATCTTCACTCCGGCTTTCACACAGCAAAACAAGTTACGACCAATTCAGTGAATGGCCTTGATGTCATCCTCGAAGGGGTGCATGCAAGGGGATACAGGTGACACGTGCCCCCGCCCTCCTTACGTCCCGTGGGGCCCCAAGAGACCGACGAGCGGGGACTTGATTGCAGTGCCCGAACGGCTGGCTATAGGTCATACACGGGATCCCGGCTCGTATGCCCGGGCCCTGAAATGTCGGTGGACCTTTTGCACTGATTTCACCATTTTGCATCGATTGCATCGGGCCCACTGGAACAATTCGAGCCTTTGTTTGGGCCAGAGACCGCTAACACCAAACAGTCGGCTTGTCAGCCTGAGCCCTCGGGGCCCATTTCCCAGCCATGCGACACTCCGGGCTGCAACAGAATGGTCTTTTAAGCTGATGATCTGGAGAGATAATGCTCTCTCCATCATTCTGCCCATGAGAGCCTATTGTAAACGTTAGAGGTCGTGATCCTTACACAAGCGTATCGAAATCAGGTAACAATCTGGATTGACGTGGCCAACTCGTTTTCCTGGAGCCGTCAATTTTTTTCTTCTCAGAATCGAAGAGGTTAAAAGGCATGTTAAAAAACCTGCACGCACCCAATATTTAGGAGGAAGAACGTCCATGTCTGACATCGCAGCCGCCATCAGACCGAAAGGAGTTCTCGGCGCTGCACCTAACACCAGGCCGCTGAGAGGAATTCTCGTCCCCGGAGCTAGCACCAGACGGTGGAACGAAGTTCTCCCGCTGCAGCTGACACCAGGCGACGGAGAGGAGTTCTCGTCGCCTCAGCTAACACCGGGCAGCGGAGATAAGTTCTTGTCGCCGCAGCTAACACCAGACGGCGGAGCGAAGTTCTCCCGCTGCAGCTGACACCAGGCGACGGAGAGGAGTTCTCGTCGCCTCAGCTAACACCGGGCAGCGGAGATAAGTTCTTGTCGCCGCAGCTAACACCAGACGGCGGAGCGAAGTTCTCCCGCTGCAGCTGACACCAGGCGGCGGAGAAGAGTTCTCCCGCTGCAGGCTGATACCAGGCGGCGGAGAAGAGTTCTCCCGCTGCAGCCGACACCAGGCGGCGGAGATAAGTTCTTGCCGCCGCAGCTAACACCAGGCGGTGGAGCGAAGTTCTCCCGCTGCAGCTGATACCAGGCGGTGGAGCGAAGTTCTCCCGCTGCAGCTGATACCAGGCAGCGGAGAAGAGTTCTCGTCGCCGCAGCTAACACCAGACGGTGGAGATACGTTCTTCCTCGCTGCAGCTGACACCAGGCGGCGGGCGCTGGACGCGCCAGAACGACCATGCGTCATATCAATGCATATTCTGACTCCATTTATGTCTCAAATCTACGTCCAATACGCCGCATTCCATAATCAAACCAACCTCAATACATCTGTAAAACCCTGAAATACGCCGGTAAGCTCTTTAGTGCTATCGGCTAAGAAAGGGCTTGCCAAGTTTGGCAAGATGTGTCGCGCCGGTGGTTTATTCGGTGCAGTCGTTTAGCACCTGGTTCGTTCCCTTTGTGAACTTAAAAATAACAATATAATTGCACCTTCTGGTGGCTCCTGGTGCCTGTTTCAGTTAAATGAAGTGAAACATGAGCGTAACACAAAAGAAGTTGTGTCTGTTCCAAATCGCGTCTACCAAATCCAGCGATTTGGTGGGGGCAATCCTACCCCACTAGCCGGTGACCCCTTGTCAACCTCCTCCTTGCTTAGACTATGGCTGTCCCAGTCGTACATACTGCGACAGACACTTCCCGGTCACCCATCGTTCCCTGTCATATTAAGTTTCACGCTGCAGATATTCACAAAATGTTGACAACGCAAGACCATCTCAAAATTAACGTAATGCAAAATGGCACCCCAACCACAAATTTCCACATGCATTCACATTCGCACGATATGTAATTTGGTACACGTGGCCCCGAAATCTCTCGACATATCTGTATGCGGTCATACTCTACGAAGCTCGACAGTTATATTTCCATCGCTTTCCGTCGATTACAGGATCAAAGGTACTATGGAAAACGTCGACGGTTAATATTGTCGTTCATACTGTTGTGATGACTTGGTTAAAAGTAGTATCGCAACTATGGCCTGCGTTCAATGAAACTGAAGTGAGAAATGAACATACGCCTGCGCTGAGCGGGGCCGAGTTGTCTGCAAGTCTTCGGAAAAGACAGCGGCGACATTCCTGGCTGCTGGTGCATATCTCATTCTGGACGCTCGGGACCCCTGCCCTTTCCCTTCCCCTCGCCTTTCTCACTCGCACCCACCTGAGGAACTGACGGAAGTGTATTGACAAAACCATGGGTAACTTAATGAGCACAGTGTGCTGTGGCTGTCTGCGATGTCGTGCGGGGCAGGATAGAAGGCGCTGACCACGCCCCAAACGGCAGCAGCAGCAGGGGCAGGACGGCCCAGCAAAGCGGGAAACGGGTCACCAGATCCAAGCTGGCCATGCTCCAAACGGCAGCAGGGGCCGGCCGGCCCAGCAGGGCAGGAGGTACGTCACCACACCCAAGCTCCACTGTCTCACTCACATCCAACCAGCCAGCCCAGACCCTGGCACTGGCCACGGCGCCTGAACACTGCACTCGGACCCGCGAGTCGTCACCTATGATGACCGTCAATGACGAACAACACTATGATGGAGCCCATCAGGCACCAGGACCAGTCCGCACTCGCGGCACCGGCGGCACCCGCTGTCCGCCGCCCGCCTCCGTACGGTCATGTAGAGAGCGCGTCCGGTCGGGCCGCTCGCCTCACGCGGTGCATCTCAGCAGTTCGGGTCGTGCGCGGTTCATTCACAGCCCCTGTCGAACGGAGCTCCGGAGCTAGGGGTGCGAACCGCAACCGCCGGCCTCCAGACCGTGAGTCCGGCCGCCCGCTCACTAGCCGCGGATGCGGATCTCGCCTCACAGGCCGTCGACGCCGGGTACGGACGGCCCTTCCCACGGCGCCGGCTGCACCGCCACCAGCGGGTCCCGGCCGGGCGCCTCGGCCGGCCCCGGCGCGACCTGAGCGCCGCGGCCGGCACCGCTGCCGTGCTGGCTGGCCATGTGGGCGGCGAGCGCGGCACGCCGGCTGTAGACACGGCCGCACACGGAGCAGAGCGTCTGGCCACGGTGCACGGCCCGGTGGTGGCCCAGGCTGGAGCGCAGGCCGAATGTGCGGCCGCACGTCTCGCACAGGAACCAGGCCGGCTCCGGCCGCCACCCTGCGTCCACATACACACACACACACAGCCGTCAGCCACCCCACCGACTGACCGCACACCGCATGCACCGCACCGGCAGGTGACGTCACACATCGCACCGGCGGGCGACGTCACATACCGTGCCGGCAGGGGACGTCACACGCCGCGCCGGCAGGCGACGACACATAACTATCCGCCAGATGACGTTCACACGCATCGGCTATATATCTACACCGCACAGCCGCTTGGAAGCGATTCACGGCACCAAGGCAGGCGATGGCCACCGGATCGGCATAAGTCACACATTGCACCATCCGGCGTTGGAGGACAAACGTCTCCCAATGCACAAACATGCGTCACATGCTTCACTGACACACTGACGTCACCGGCTTGTGGTTTCACCGACGTCACCAACTGTTGCGGAAAATAACGTCGCCCACTGGATCGCCCTCCGTGATGGAATGGGCTTCAATCAAGCGAATTTCGCTCGAACACTGGTTGACTTTTAAGAAGCTAACGAGAAGAACCAGGTTGCAACCGCGAGTAGCCATCTCGTCACAACGCAGTCAGCAGTCATCTCGTCACAACGCAGTCAGCAGTCATCTCGTCACTATACAATTTTAGTTGCACATCTCACGACATGTCATAATGAATCGTTCCCTGCTAGATAGGTCATGCCTCGTTACAACGGAAAGTAATCACAGAACAAAGTCGGCGGCGAATTCCGAGGCCAAAAATATTTATTGTAGCGAATTGTACGCCACTGAACACAAAAGCAGTACGCAATTGTTGATGGTTGTGGTTCAAGGCCAAAACGATGACATTGGTAATTCCGTTCAAGTGTGCAATGTATTTTAAAAAGGCTCGGTGCTGGGAATATTTTTGTGAACAAGCCGGCATCAATTTCCGTCGCAATGGACGCCATACTTCGACAGTGCTCGGGACCGGGCATATTTTTGCGACCTAGCTGGCAACATCAATTTTTAAACATCAAACCCACGGTCACTTTCACTGCTTTGCAATGTGAGCGCGAGCAAATCGTCTTTACCCGCGAAGCGAAGCCTGCCCGTAACCGCGTTACACTTCTTCAGTGGAGGGGACCGTAATAGTTTCTGCCTACTGTAATGGACCCATTCGACCTCAATGGTCTAATTCCCTGGTCTGGTCCGACAATCACTTCATCACAGCATCCCTTTCGACTACTCAGCGCCGTACTCGAGCGCTGCGTACCTGGCCGCTAGCGGAGCGTGTACTCGGGGTGGCGCTGCAGCACGTGGCGGCGCAGGCTGGGCCTGGTGCCGTACACGGCACGGCACACCGGGCACGTGGTCCGGCCGCGGTGGATGGCCACGTGGTGCGAGTAGGAGCCGCACGTGAAGTCGCGACCGCACTCGGCGCAGCGCACGCGGCCGCCGCTCAGCCGCGCGCCACCTACCGGCCAGAGCAGACACTCAGCCGGCGGGCCGGCACGTTACGGCCGGAGACGGAGACGGTAGGGCGGTGCGTCCGGCGACGCCGCGGCCGCCGCCTCAAACCTCCCTCACCGGTCATCGGCCGGCCGAGCAGCGCGCCCAGTTGCCGCATAAGTGTGCACGTGCTGCGTAA